GTAGGGGTTTAATATACCAAAGAAGTTTAAAGTTTACCTATTGGGCTCCTAAGCTTAAACCCCTAAAGCCCCGAAAAAACTCAACTTCTCATCCTCGCCTCGCAGGTTCTCCTGAGCTGATCCCTGGTCCCAGTCGTCGTTGGACCAGTCCCATCCTTCCATGCCGCAAGGGTTGCTAGAAGGCTGACAATAAGAACTTGATGGTTCTACGATGAGGGTTATACAAGTAAGGCTTATGAAAAGGTTGGTATGGGGGGGAGGGGGGTTATACTATAACCAAAACAAAAAAGCATGCCATCTGTGGCCATCCCAGAAGGGATGCGCCTGTGAACTACCATGCACAGCCTGGGGGGGAGACAGGTGGGGGTCTTCCGAGAACTACACTATTGGGGCCCCCTGTTGTCTGAGACTTGCAGCTTTGCAATTACAAGGACGTGAAAACAAGTTATTGCATGCTTCCTCGCATGATACCCGGCGATGGTGCAGGAGGTTCAGCACTACGCCCCCTCTGAACCGCTCCGGAAAGATATACCCGACAAGCCGCGCCTTGAATCCGGACTTCTTCCTTCTTCCTTAAACACTCCCCTTGACTCACGAACCAAAGCTGTGCCAAGAAGCCACCATAGATCGGCACCTTGGCAAAGAGTTGGCCCTAAACTTTGAACCTAAAGATCCCAAGCCATGCTTCATCCGAGAGCTCCGAGGGTTTAGGGCTTTGTGTTTAGACTTTAGACCATACGATAGCCGATACCTAAACCCCTAGACCCTAAACCCCTAAACCAATAACCTCGGGCCCCACTTGGCAAAGAGCATTGCAGATTAAGGCAATCTCACACACCCCAACAACCTCACAGTTGTCTCGCTTTTGGCCGCAACGCTTCAAGTCCTGGGCTAAACTTCCAGGCTGACTGGATACCAAAACAGGATGCTGGCGTCTTGGGTTCAGGGCACGCTCCCTAATGTAGGAGCCCTGGCACTTAGAATGGGGTTTGGGGTATGGGACAGTAGACGTATGATAAAGAATCCTTAGGAATACTGTTCGTAAACATTCAGTGCCTTGATCGAAAGCTCGGTTTGACCAAAGTTTCGGTGACAAGGCGCAGCAGTGGCAGAGGCCCGCAGCTCGCGACCATCCACGGCATCCAGGAATTCTGCCGTGAGATTGGCCGCCCGGAGGGCCTTTCGGAAATGTGTCTCTTACTTGTCCAGTTTCTTTGGCCTTAGCACACCACTGTGAACCCCAGTGGGATCACGACCCGAACCCCTGAACCCGAAGTCCAAACTATTTTGGAGCCAACAGCACTTATGCGAGTAGTTTAGTAGACGAAACACCCCACTGGGGTAGGCTTCACAAGCTCCTGCTAAACCCTAAACCCTAAACCCTAAACCCCTAAACGCTAAACCCGAAACCCTGCTTGTGCTGTTGGTTTGCTCCTCATACTGAGCGATGCTAAGCCTGTCCTCGGCCATGCGCTGCCGCCGGTCATCGCGCCTCAAACCATCCGAGAAAAACACATCACAGCATTGTCGGGTTTGTTAGGAAACCAGGGTTTAGGATTAGGGTGAGGGCGGTGAGGGGTGCCTCATGAATTCACAAGGACTCAAACGCTAGCTTTGGGGTCCTACATCTCCTGAAACTCCCACTTTGTACTCATGCTGAGGTACTACACTCTGGCCTTATGTTCAACCCTAAGGTCCATGTCCTGCTCCAAACAGAAATTCGAAAAGCATGCAACCCAGACTTTGCGAAAACCCTACACCGCAAACCCCACATGGTGAAGGCATTGGTCTTCCCTAGGTGTTCAGGCCAGTTGGCGCGCCGCAAATAACCCTAACCTTTACAGCAAACTCGAAGCTATTGGGAACTCCAGTTTGACGGCAAGCTCTTGGAAAACGCCTTTGTCGGATGGAGAAACTTGCCCCACAAACCTGGTAACGCTGTAAGCAGACCAATTCAATACTGGACAACGATAACACGCCCGGAATGAGGCGAGGAAACTCAAGTGCAAAAGCCCGAAATCGCCGTAAAGATCCAGCGTGCCTGAGGAGGCTGCAGCACAGGACAGACACTGCTGCACCGGCCATGCCGCGGCCATGTTGCGATCAGATACAATCAAACCTCACTAAAGATATTACCTATGCGAGCCTTCACAAGGGGAGCTTCGAAAAGCATGTGACGAAGCTTGAGTGTGGTGGTTCTACAACTTTAAACAATGCACTTCAATCTTTGACCTGATTATCTCGCCTGACATAAAACACGAGCTACGAAAAGCCGACTCCACATTCAACCTCGGCTGGGTTAGGCCGGCGTAAGTTAAGGGTATCAGGTTCACGGGCGAATACATGTTGCCAGCACTCTCATCCTGCGACTGATGAAGAAGCTAAATGCCACCTTAACTATTCGTAGAGCCATGAATCATAGATTCTTAGTATACGGACCCAAATTTTACATAAGATATCTTCAAAGCCTAGGAACGATTCCGCATCCCAACTGCTCAAAGAAGCCCCTTTTCGCCCGATCGCCGCATGTGCCCAAAGCTTCGGAGATGCCGACAGTGCCTGGCGCGACTGCGTTGATTGGGGCGTTTGAAGGCCTTATTGGCTTTTCCAAGTTTCAACACAGGTTTAGGGTTTAAGAAGTTGCGGGGCTGAAGTCTAGGGGCCAAGGGTGTGGCTTCAAAAGGCTAGGACTAGGATGGCTTACGGATCGGGGGGAAGCGGACTTAGGATTTCGGGGTGCTCTGGGGTCGTGGAGCTCGGTGTTCTCAGGTTTCCGGTTTCAGATTCAGGATGGGGTGCAGGGCTTCACGTAGAAGACCTTCGAGCTCTGAAGCTTACGGTTGAGGGCTTAAAAGCGTTTAGCCTTCTTGAATTTCGTCCCGGTGTTTGGTGGTCAGGGGCATTGAAGAGCATCAGGGGCCTCGACATGGACATCAAAGACTGTCAACACTAAGCTGAGGCTTTGCGCTGCTGCTCGTTGCCAGTGTTGTAATGTAGGGGCCTGAACAATACCAATACTATTTAAGGGGTTCCTTACTATAATTGTAGTGTAATGGGCCCCAAGACCCTATTCTAATATTAAGGCCCCGAGATAAACCATTTGCCGCGCTTCTGATGCAGGGAGAGGGCAGTGGCCGTTAGGACCTGCGCTGGGGATAACCGAGAAGCCGCGTGGAAGCGCCGCCCAAATATGGAAGTCTGAAGAATTACCTTGCTCCGTAGGCTCGTTCTTATAATTATACTAGAGTATACCCCAGGCTCCTGTGTTCGGATCGTTGGAAGATTGTATTCTGTGTGACTCCTAACTGGTTGCCTCTCCTCTGTTGAAGGCTACTTACAACTTCCTGATGGGGCTGATGCTGCAAACTGCACGATACTAAAGTACCAATTCATGGTGTCATGTAAGACAAGCATCCAGACTGCGCCGCACCTTTTGTGATAAAGCAAGGAACATGCACGTCTCTGTCGCAGCGAAGCATCTGCGCTTACGTAGGTGCAGCTCGTCTAGGACCCGGGGAGGTCAGTGTGCAGGAAGCTGAAGAGCCACTCCTTCGTATCAATAGCACCGGTCCCGTCCGTATCTACGGCCTGGAAGGTGCCTGCAGGAAGGTCACCCAGAGCTGCAGAGAGCTCCGACGGCGACAGAAGCTTGTCACCATCCGCGTCGAACTTGCGAAACAGGGCTCTTTTTGCATCGGCCATGAAATAAACGTAGAGCACAAAAGGCATGAGCAAGAGTCCAAAAGGCCTGGGCCTGGGTCCAAGCTTCAGGGGGCCGATGTTCCTGTACTCCTCCGGCAAGTCTGGGATCCCATCATCCCAGGCGTCTCGGCTACACTTCGAAGACTCGCATCCTCTGCTGCGAAGCCGGACGTCTGGCTGTGAAACGAATGGCATCTGCGGTGCTATAGTCCATGCAGACACCGCCAACACGCAGAGAACCAACGATCTTGATGGGCGCAGAGCACGATGCCTTGCAGAAGCGAAGGGCATCGCAGATGGCAGGCTGGGAGCTGGGAGTCTCTACCAAAAACCGTGCGTTTCAGTCTGCCTCTTGACAAGACGCCGCAAGCATGACATGTGCCGGTGATCATGAACGCCAGCATGAACCCGAAAGCCTACCGCTCTACTGATTGCATCTCCCTTGTGTCCTATGCCCGGGCAGGAACTCTTCTCAATCCCTTCATCCCGCCACTGAACACTGCCAGTGCATTGCACAAAAGTTCATCACAAGCCAACAGAGGTTTGACATTCGGAACCATGTCTGTGCATCACAAACTTTGGCAGGCTTCTTGGTCTCTCTGGAGGTCCTCTGATTCCTTGCTAGAGCTGTTTGCGACATGGTGTGGGTGAAGATTCCGAAGGAGTCACAGGACAACAAACAAGACACTGCTTATGCATCTTACAGCATAAGGTCCCTTTTGCCCCCAAAACCCGGAACCCTATGTCCAGTTTATGACTTCTGGGCATCCGCTGTAGGCTTCAGTCTCCGGAAGCTTGGCGAGGGCTTGAGGATTCGAGGCAGGATCCTCTTGGGCGTCGGTGTTTTAGCAAGCTGCCAAGTTTAAGGGGATTACAAGCCGAGCCCGCATCAACAGTCATCAGATCATCAGATCATCTCACAATACCTATCCTGAACTTGATCATTACACCGCTCATGTTGGTGATGGTGGTTGCCCCACCTGTGCCTAGCCGGCCGCCATGTGCAATCGTCACATTGCACAAGGGAATAGGGTGCTAGGGCTTAGGGCTCGAAGGGCGGCTGGAGCTTCAGAAGCTGTTCAACTTGGTGCTTGTGGAGAAGATCCTATCTTGATGTATAGCTGCATCGCCAAGGCCACTCCCGAATCTTCTTCCTTATTGCAGGCCTAGTGCATGCCGTTGTCACTACACGGCCGCGAACTTCTCGGCTTCCGTGGGGGAGTGGAGCTTGCGAATCTTCTTGTCCAAGGGGTCTGTGCCGGCAGAGCCAAAATGCAGGCAGGCGGAATGTGGATCTCTATTTGGATGATGTTGCATGGTCTCGTCCATGGAGGCTCGCGTGCCGGCTGCGGGCATCCGCCCTCGTTTTGCCAATGGAACGTGCACGCGATGCAGCTGTCTCAGTGGGGCCGCTTTACACTGCCGGGAGTGCGACTTTTCCAGTGGACATTGTATTGTACGAGGGAATCCCTGACGCATTCGAGTCAACCCCTGTGACATCCAGGACGGCTTGAAATGCACAGGTGAGATTCGAGATGTTACGACGGATGGCCATTGCGAAACTCACTGGCTGGCTCTGTCAAGAGTGACTAGCTTCGTTGCTCCCGGCGGCCGTGCAAATGGCCCCATTGCCTGTCGCCGCATAAACAGAGAGACGGCTCCCAAAGAGCCCAATACCCCTTAATTAAAGAATATACCTTAAATCATAATAGTAAGGCCCCTATAATTTAAGGTATATTCCTTATTTAAGGGGTATTGGGCTCTCTGGGCTGGAGTAGCGGTCAGGAGTTGCATGTCGAATTGCCTCTGTGCCTGCGACGAACAGCCACACCTCCGTGCTGCAACCTCTGGACCACGAAATTTCAGTTCTTCATACACCCGCCTCACAAGCGAGCATGCCAGAACCCTCTTCCCTGCTTTAGCCCTTCCAGGCTCCAGCTGCTTTCTCCCCAAATTATCGTCAACTCTGGGAGGCTCCACACCCTCTAGAACCTTACATCCCATATCCTGGGCGTCCTTGGCTGTACTTCGAGGTTCATGGGTAATCATATGCAGCACTATTCCGTAAATCGAGATAAGTGTGGCTGAATTTACCACCACTTGGGACCATACCCCTTTCTGCCCACAAACTGTTGAGCAGTCTGTGAAGCCAAGAACCTCCAGCCCTGTTGAAAGTTTGAATGGTCACAGCAGGCCGCTCCGGCACCTTGAAAAAAATTGGCATCCGGTATTGCCCTTCGGCCGTGAACTGCATAGGAACCACGACAACAGCCGTAACAATGGGTGCTGTTACTAGAACCGTGATCATCCTTGGCGTTTCTTCCAAAGTTCATAAGTGAAACCTCATCACCCTTATCCTTATGATGGTCACCGTCGTGCTCACAAGTGAACCACCAGCAAGACCTGCATTCACCTTCACCACGGCATTGATAGTAAACACTGTACAGTCCACGTGCTGCAGCAGTAGTAGTAGCAGTCTTTGTAGCAGCAGTAGTAGTAGTAGTAGCAGCAGCAGCAGCAGTAGTAGTAGTAGTAGTAGTTATTGTTGTTGTTGCAGTAGCAGTAGCACTAGCAGTAACAGTTGCAGCAGTAGTAGTCGTCGTCGTCGTCGAGATCATAGTCGCAGTCTACTACCACCACCACCACCACCACCACCACCACCACGACCACAACCACTCTATCACTACCATCTCCACCACTACCACCACCACCACCACGACGACTACTACTACTACTTCTTCTGCCACTGCCACTACCAAAATCAGCACTACTGCAACTACTACTACCACCAGATATGACCCGGCAAGGAGAAAAACATTGTGTGTAAACACTACAACATGCCCAAAGGCAATGAACATGCCAAGGCAACGCCACGAACAAAAACCATAAGACCTGCGACAGCACAAGCGAACAATGAGAGTCACGGCAGTAAGTCAGCACGACAACGGCCGTAGTGCCTGTAGTAGCAGTAGTACTTTAAACGTAGTAGCACCAACAACCAAAACATTCACCAACTTTGTGCTCGTAGCTAAACTAAACCATAACAATCTTCCAGAAACCGCTCCGGCGAACCCGAGGTCAAGTGACCCGATGGAGACCGAAAGGCGGGCCCTAAAAATTGAGCCTGGCATGCAGGAAGCCTCCTTTAGGAGATGCTTTTAATTCGCTGACTTTCGGGCTTCGGGTTTTGGAGTCGGAGAATTAGTAGCACTGTTCTTTTATAGCAGTTATAGTCCTCTGAAAGTCTATACTACATTTTACACGCAACACTTTCAAACTATCAAGGCCCCTGAAGTAGCTTGCGAAAGCTGTTGAACTGGCAGTCTTCTCCCTGAATCTCACAAGGAGCATGGACCACATCTGAGTCCACCTTCGAAGGGAAGCAAAAAAGTGCCTTCCTGGAGATCCGTTTCAATCAAAAAACAGAAGACAAAACTGAAACACCACCCAAGCACTTCGTAGACATGATGCCTCATACTCTAGGCCTTTAGTATTACACCTTGAAGTGGAAGGAAGTAAGAAACACGGTACGTCTATCCTCATGTCCTTCCGTCAACACATGGAGAATCCTAGCACTTCCGCTTGATCCGTGCTCCAACGTGTTGGGACGTTTTGGGGTCTAGGTTTAGAATAAACCCTGAACCCCGCGCCATTCCAGCTGACAGGTTCCTGATGAGAACCACCGGCCGGATCTGTTATCAGAAAAGGTGGTCTTTTTCAAACTCGGTCTCTCGAAATTCGGAATGCCAGCAGAGTGTCGGCACCCATCCAGCCGTGTTAACTCCTGGCCCCAAAACCAGCGTGCAAGTTGGGGCGCGCCCCGGGAATGCTAGAATCAAAGCTTCGCGTCATCCTGCAAGTCTGCAACCGTGACAGGCCACTCGAAGGCCAGCACCTCTTCCCATTCACGGTTGTAGACGGATATGTGGAACTGTTTGACATCAGGCCGGCCAGGGAACATATGTAAAGACTGAATCTCTAAGGCCACAGTCATATTTTGATGGCAGCGCACCTGTACAGTAGGAAAAGCTGTTCTGACAACCTTCACATCGCTTTTTAACAGGTGTTTCACCTGATCCCTGTCCGCCAAGCGAAAGCATTCCTTCTGTGTCTCTCGGGGTACGATCAGAAGCCCCCGCTCCCCTGCGGCAATGACAAGTTCGTTGTCGGAGCTCTTTTCCAGATTTATCATGCGGGAGAAGGCCCCGACCAACGTGTCGTCTTCTCCAGTGTCGCGATCTTGGAACTCAGACACATCAAGCCGGGTGAAGTCTCGGCCGCTAGAATCCAGCGATAGAAAGGATAATACCGAACCAAAGCCTCCCATGTGGTCGAACCTGCTCAGCAGCATCAACGAGCCAGGGTCTAGAAAAAGCGCATCCACGTAATGGTCGTTGACGCCATTGGCCAAGCGGACTGTATTGAGATGTTGTGGTTCCGCACGGGCAGAAACGTCAAACAACACCATCCAGTGCGGTACAGAAAAGTCATCCACTGCGACCAGAAGGTTTGCACCATTCCATGCAAAGGCATCGAATGGCTTGGACATTCTGCGGTCTGACAGATCAAGCAAAACTCTTTGTGTTCCTTCCTGCAGGTTTACGAAGCAGACTCTATTCCTATAGCCAATGAAAACTCGACCATCAGTGAAACCGTAAAGAGCTGTCGGGTCCAGCCCACCATCAAGATCCACACGTGCTGCCTCCTGGAAGTAGGCTCGGTGAACTTCGTATGCTGCCAGCACGAAGGGGCGCCGTCCCTCCCGACTGATGACGAAGGCCATGTGGCCGCCATCCTGAGCTGTACCGTACCGATTCAACGAGACCGAACAAGACCCCCGAAAACGAAAGATCAAGAAGCATGCGAAGGGACCTCGAAGAGTGTGGCAACTTAGAATCTGAGGCTGCCTGGCATCTGCAGCAAGCGTGAAGCGTATAGGACGCGGCCATGGGGGCTGGATTCGAAGCAAGGCCAAGGACTTAGCCTGCGAGTCTGGTGAGGCCAAGGACTCCAGCGGATCCCCCAAAGGGGATCCAGTGGAGCTTTCGAAGCAGACGAGCTTTGATGCCCCTTCCCTGTCTGAGGCCCGATAAGCGCAGAGCAGAGGCGGCCCGTCCGAGGAGCGCCACGGCTGGACCCCGCAGCACAAAAGCGTCCAGAGCCAAGCCAAGGCAACCATGGCTAAGAGGAGTATATTATATATATATATATACATATATAGATACATATATATACATACACAGACAGTCGCAATACTCTGCACCTTGGGCTGCAGGCCGAGGCGATGGTGGATGTTTGGCCGGTGCTTAGCTTCCAAAAGGCCCACTTGTGGTTCGGTATAGATGAAGAATCCCAAAACGAGAGGTGAGCTCTGGGAGAGAAAGGGTCATGGCTGTGGCACGTCTGGGGGCTTTGCTTTGCACTTCAGGTTCTAGGATACGCTCTATCATGCTCTCGTTGCTGCACCATTTCATGGCTGCTCTTAGTCCTTAGCTGCACCTTTAGTCTCCACCTTAGTTCCTTTTTGCTCTTAACCCATCTTCTACTTAGGGCCTTCGGGTTCTTCAAGGCAACCCAAAACAGGAGCTTGAATGGGGGCTTCAGGGAGACCCCAAGCCTCTGATTCGCTCTTTCAGACGCACTGCCTCAGCGAGGCTCGGACCGTGGCGAGGTTGGCCCTGCGCAGGAGCCATGTCGGAAAGACAAGGCCCTTTTGCACTTCAAGCCAGAACCAAGTAAAGGAAACTACGGGTGGGGAGTTTAGGATATATAGGGCTTCTAGAAGGATTCTATAAGGTATATAGACCTTCTAACTACCCACCTGAAAATGTCCTAGAACCAACCCTAAACCCGAACCCTCAACCCTAAGACTGGGATGAGGAGGAGTAGAAGTTCGAACCGTCAGGCCCCAACAACCCTTAGCCTTACACGCTTGATGCCGCCAGTGATGGCTTCAGGACTGGGGGCCTGTGATTCCGAGGCTGGGATGACGCGACTTGCTTGTCAGGCCCTGCTCTGAGGACGCGTTTTTACACTTCACCAACTTCCGGCTTTCAACTCAGAGTTTAGGGCCCTAAGCCCTAAGCCCTAAACCGTAAACCCTAAGCCCTACATAAGCCTGGTTTTTGCGTGTGTTTAGGGGCTTCCTGTCTGGTCTGGGCTTCAGCTTGAGCTTACAAGATGGGATGTTCGTGGATGGAGAGCTGTCGCTTTCCAGCCCGCCGAAGGCGCCTAAGAGCTTTGGAGTTTCGGGGCTTCGGGTTTAGGGTTTCCGGTTTAGGGAATTCTAGAGACAACGGGTTGATGATACAAGCCAGAAGCATCCCTGTGCTTGTCGCTTGCAAGCTAGCAGAGGTTCGGATCATGCCATGCTACTTGCAAGTCCAGCCCCGCAATTCAATCTACGTCGCCGGTCGCCGTAAAGCCCTGAACGCTGAGACTCTGATGACACCCAGAAGCTTAGAAGCCCTCTGCATCCCGAACCCTATTCAACCCTAAACCCTTTTTTACAAGCCCAAGCCCTAAACCCTTTGCACCACTAAACCCTGTTCACCAAACTTCCTAGACCCTAAACCCTAAAACCTAGTCCCTAGACCCTAAACCCTTAATCCCAAACCCTAACCACCCTCAGAAACTTTCTGAGGCTCCAGCTCAACCGCTCGTCGTCTGACTTCGCTCTGCCCGGAGACGTGGGAGCTGACACCACGCGGGCACCAGGACGGGGCTGTAGAGGGTCTTTAATAGGAAAGATGGAGGTGTAGAGGCTTCTTTACGGGCCTTTAATTTAAGGTCTTTAACAAGGTTCTATAGGATTCTGTAGGGTTCTGGAAGGATTTCATGCGGGCCGCCCGCGGGGCATGAACCTGTAACGGAGGCATGAAGAAGCCCTGCGAAGCCTGGTTGACTTGTGCCTTGAGCCTCCAACAGCCGCCGAACACTCTCACAAGTAGGGGGTCTGGGACAAGGTTTGAAGTCACCGAGCCTGATCGCTTGGCGCCGAAGTTGCTCACACTCCGGCTGATCTGGCCTCGGTATAGGGCAAGTGAAGACTCCAAACCTAGGAACACGGCGTTGGTCAGGACTCTCGCGACTGGACATGCTTGAAACTGAGGGCTTTCAAAACCTGCTTGTTTGGGCGGTCCCTGTCCTAAAACGAGTTGGCAGGTGACAGACCATCTACTCTTCGGGAAGCCCTGAACTGCTCACGTTGCACGGGCTTGTTTCTGAGAAGACGTTCGTCCCGATGAAATCCGACACCGTTCACCACCACAGAGTCAGTTCCAAAGCGGGCATAAACCAGTCAACACCTCAAACCCCATGACTCTAAACCCTAAACGCATCGTCTCTGGGTGACCAGGCCAAACCAATCCATCGGGCGCTGCAGCAGATCTTCCACCTCTTTCGGGACGGGGTCAGGCCCTGTCTAAGATGAGTTCTAGATTTCTGCAGCGGTCTCAAAGAACCCTAGACTTGGCCTAGACCCCTGAAACCTAAACCCTTAACCCTCACCCCTTTTACCCTAAACCCTGAACCCTCAAATCGAAAAACTCTAAACCCTGGGCCCTGAGCCCTGTCAGCGCTTGGGGGCCTCCGGCACCATGAGCGGGCAAATCTCCTCTTCGGCCTCCATGGGCTGCGGGGCGCTGCTGTAGAGTTTGGGGTGTAGGATTTAGGGTTTAGGGTTTGGGGGTTTAGGATTTAGGGTTTAGGGCTTTAGGGTTTTAGGGTTTTAGAGTTTGGGGTTTGGGGTTTTTTCCCTCCCACTTAGTTTGGACGAGCCCGCATGCAGGGTGAGTTTAGGGTTTAGAGTCTGGGGTTTGGGACAAGCTAGACGAAGTCTCTCGGTTCGAAGTTCGAATACTCAGAACGACAACATAAGCTCCTCTGAGGGTTTGGGGGTTTAGGGCTTGGGGGGTAAGAGTTTGGACTCTCGCAACTCATGTAGGGTTTAGGGTCTAGGGTACTGAAAGACTCGAAATTACTGGTATTGATATCCGATGACATCCCTTTACAGTTCTGTATGTCCCTGTATACTCATGCGAAAATATGCCTCAGAACCCGTTGCTACTTATTAAGGCCTGTGAAATCAACACATCCTAGCCTCTCCATCTTGAACTGATGTCGAACTCAAGCCCTAGCTCCGGCGTTAAGGTTTCGGGCTTGGGGTTTCAACACATGTTTCGCAGGCTATGGGGTACTATAGGGGTAGGGCTGGGGGTGTTCAACCAACAGCGGCTTATGCTTGCATCCACAGCACAAGTACACACAAGCCTGTACCCTGAAGCCCTCAACAAATCTTACCCTAAAGCACCCTGAAACCCTGAATGCGGAACCCCAAAATACATAGAAACATTGGCCTGATCCGATGGCAGTGTCCAGATCTCTCCAGGTAGCCGCCGCAACTGAGAAATGAAGGGATGCTTGTGTTTGAAGGGGGGTTCACAAACTCCCAGAAGGAGAACACGACGGGGAATTAGGATGACAATGAACAGAACAAGAGACAAGGAGACAGGGACGAACAGCAAGATAAGAAAGAGAGACAGAGGCGCAGAATGGGTGGTTTTGGGGCAAAAGCCCTTACTGCAGGACTGAACCTGAAGACTCTGGCGTGTCCCTCTGGAGCTCAAGGCGTGTGACGGGAGCCTGAAGCTCAACCCGAAACCTCAACTCCCAAGCCCTAATCCTAAGCTCACGTGGACCTTTTTTTCCAACAGGCTTTCCACTTCGCCTACGGGGTTCAACCCAAGCCCAGACTTACTGTGCTGCCAAAATACAAGCCCTTTTTGCAGCAGGGTTCGTTCGCCCGGAACTGCTGTCGCCGTGAAGCCACAAGCCCCAACCCCCAAACCCTAAACCCAAATCCTCAACCCTACATAATCTTTGTTGATTTACATTTGGATTGTATTTGCATGCAGGTCTGTGATTTGCAACCAAAACTTACCTTTGTCCTGAAGCGCCCGTGCCTTTTCGGATCTATCCTTCCACTCTGCCGAGTTCTCCTGCAGATACTCCTCCGGTTTTGTTGCTTCAGCGCTTATGCGTAGGCTTTCAGCACTTTGAACTTTAGGTTTGAGAGGGTCGGATTTTACTTGTTTCCGCAACACAATCACTCTGAGTTTCAGGCCTGTGCACCTCCACATCCCTACTCAGGAGGCTGATGGCCCATCTCACCCGGGATATGAGCAAGCAAGATGACACTCGACAAGCGACTTACTACAGTATAGAGACTCCCCAACACTCCAAAGCACTGGCTTCATCCACATGCGACGTCATCACCAACACAACCACTTCCAGGTTGAGGATCCTCTCATGTTTGGGGTTCGGAGCTTGGGCTTAAGGCAATCCCCAATTGCACACGTGCCGCGACAAGTGTCGGAAGGACTCGGAGGCAAGCGCAAAGCGGATCTCCTAAGATTTTGTTTTGCAGAAGCATCAGCTCTTGACTGGAAGGAAGGGCCTTGCTAAGTCTCCTTATCCTGCAAGTGCGCGATACCCCAGCAGAACAGCATAGACCGTCTTGTGCTTTTGAGGTTTAGGGCTTCGGGCGTATAGGGCGTAGGGCTGACGGGGTTGCCAGGGCTTGCAGAGTTTAGGCGGCTTAGCCCTACTGTTTAGAGTTTCACCCTCTCGCGGAAGGAAGCCTGGCCTTGCCCACCTCGAAAGGAGGAATGGGCTTTTGCCCATCAAGGCAGTGAGAGAGCAGCACCTGACAACAGCATGCGGTAATTTCAGGGCTCAGGGTTTAGAGTCTGAGGCTTGCGTTGCAGCGCAGATCAGAAACACAGGAACCTGCGATTGATTCATCGATCAATCGTGCCAGATTCGACAAGAAAGCCGACCAAAGCCCTTCACGGAATCACAATCAAGGATTTAGGGCGCATCAAAAGCTCGGGGCGTAGGGTTTATCTTGATGGTTTGCGTGGTTCTCAGATGTCCTTCATGCGGTGCCTCTGACTCTTGAACCAACTTGTAATCTAGCCGAGGTATCCAAGCTGGGCAGTACATCTTGCATGATTCGTGGGTTCGAACAGCGCAAGGCTTTTGGCAGATGAGGCTCACAATAAACATGGACGTCGGGTGTTGCCTAAGCAGGGCTTTGAGTTTGTTTTTCTGGTTGAAGGCCTGATACATGTAATGATGGCAGGAGGTGCTGGCGGTGGCATTGACTTAAACTTCGGGCTCAGCTTGTCCGGCGTGTGGGTGCCGAATTCGTTCAAGATTGGTGGCGGGCAAGCGTGGACTTGGGCCTACACGCTTGGAGTCGAACTGAGGGGCACGAAAGTTTCTGTCGTCGGACTATTTAACTAACGCCTGACCTACGACATTTTCACGACGGCGTTAGTTCTCTACGTTCTGACGCCACTTTACGGCCTAGGCCTCGGGTGTCACCATGGTGCCCGTGGCGACACAGTGTCACTGTCCGAGAGAATTCGAGAGCTCACCACGCGGGGGCAAACATCGCTCAAATACATGCTCAGCTCTGAAAGAAAGATGCAACTACTGGATGGGAGTCGAACAATGCTGCTTGGAGCTCGGCCGGCAAGCTGTCCAGTTGTCTCCGCTGTCTGCAAGACCAAATGTAAGCAGCATGCTCGTCCGCGGGCCTCGATTGCGGCATCCTACCGCGTGTCTCCACGAACTCAAGGACATTCTCAAATTGCTTCATCCATCCAGCCTTGTAGATTGCTGGCTTTCGTGTGCGCCTTGACATCACCCAACTCGCAAGGATGGGGCCCTCCTTCTCCAGCAGCAGGAGGCGCCTCTCACGGTTTCTGTGTGCAAGTGCGACAAGCCCGGACAACTTTCGAGCCAACTCGCGTTCCCCTCTCGCCCCGTTCTGATCACGTCTACTATCCTGGGGCATGCGGTGGTGAGCACGAACGAAGTGCCGCAGCTGCTTCAAACATCGCTCAAAGGGTGTCTCCGGTTCCAACCACTTCCCAACACGAGCAGCCAACCTGCCACAGGAAGAGTTCAGCAGCTTCTGCATCCTGGCAGCGGGCAGCAACTGGCATTTAATCTTGAAACCCACTTGCTGCACCCACACTGCCAAACTTCTCTCATCGTGACCACCCGCATTCTCACGGGGAAGCCTGCCATGATCTAGCTCAAACTGCTCAACTTGCTGCAATCGCAGATCCCATGGATCATGCTGCTGCAAGATCAAAGCCAGCCGATACTGGACACTGCGATCCAAGAGCTGCTGCATCATGGAGTGCTGAAGCCTGCAGTCCGTCACCCAGAAACGAGACTGCAAATACCGGACATCGTCGGCGGCAAATCGACAGTCCGCTCTCGCTATCGCCCTGAGGAACCTGCCAAGCTGGTCGGCTTTTCCACTCCAGAGCATGCTCATGTCACCGGTGGCTCCATTCACTTTCAGTGTCCGTGAAGTGGGAGTTTGTCGGGCTTGTGGCCTGTGAAGCTGCTCATGCTGGCAGCACTCCTGCGAACGCGCGTCCACCGGCCTGGCAAACTTTGCATTGCTTCGCCTGGTGGCAGACCCAGATGCGAAGACGGCTGTGAGCTCCCCAGAAGTGCGCCGCCGCGGTCCGGACAGCTCCGAATCATGTACCAAGCTGCCGTCATAAACGGCAAGCGACCTGTCGGGAATCTCCGCGGCACGGTACTGGCTCTCAATTACTGCTGGTGCACAAGACCCGTGATCTTGTGGTTTCGCTCTGCTGTTGCTGCCACTTTGGCTGCCAATCTGCACGTTCGCTTCGCTGACGATGTGGCAACTGCTTTCGTACCTTTGCAGCTTTGAGGTAGACAGCGACTCGCCATAGTTATGTGTACGACCCTTCTTTTGAATCCTGCCAGCCTCCGGTTGGGCCCTCGCACCATTGGTCTTGGCAAGCTCGCTTCGCCGCAGCTCGAACGATCCATCACCGCTTTGGATTTCAGAAGGTGCCAAAACGTGCTCTGAGTGTGGGACAGAGCTGTCGATGACAGTCGGCCCACTCTCCATGCTTCCGCCGCTGTCTCCTTCACGAGGCATCACCCGTGCCGGCAATGTCGGCGATTTCTGGACTTGGATATCCTCCACATCCTCGCAACCTGCAGAGTGCGACGCTCCGGCTGGTCCGGCTGAAGCCACCAAACCGTCTTCAGTTCTGCTCGTGGCACCAAGGCTGTCGCTCAAAACGCGTTGAGCAGTGCCAGCGGTGGCCGGGGCGGCAGGCATCACAATCGCAGGCAACACGACGTGAGCCAGAGGTTTCGAAACATGAGGCCGCAGCACCCGGCCGATGGCCTGAATGATGCTCACGTAGCTACTTCTGGGCTCAACGAACATGCAGGTGTCGGCATTCGGAATGTTGACGCCTTCTCCCAACACCTGAACCGTCACCAGCACGTGCACGGCCTTCTGCAGCTTACCCGAGAACTCGTCAATTACTCGCTCTCGCACTCTGCGGCCGGTACGTGCGTTGATGTGCCACGCTGCTACCCCAACCGTTTCCAACACCTTCTGGAACCGCTTGGCTTCAGCAACCGAGTTGCAATATGCGAGCACCCGCCGAAACCGCCCTGCTTGTGACAACAGCAGGTTCGCCAAGCAAATGTACGGATGGCCTTCGGTTGTCACGGGCACGGTAAGGTCGTAGTCGCACAGCACCCCCTGATCAATGGCTTGGCCAAGGCTGTACCGAAAATCCACATTCTCCTGGTGCGTGGCAGAGAATTTGAAAAGCTTGTTGTAGTCAGGCAGTTTTGATGGAAGGGGATGATGGGCTTCATCGACGAAGACGGCCTCAAGCATCTGCTTCTGCAGCAGATGCACTGAACGAGTCACAGCGATAAAGCCCCTTGATGCCATGTCGATGTTATCGTTGTATTTGGTTCCCACTTTGCAGAAGCCGGGCATCTCCCGAGCGAACTGCTCCAGGAGCACCAGGGAGGGGACGATGACCAAGACCTGAGCACAAAAGCTGAAGAACATGTGTTGCGGAACATCCACATGCCACATGCGGTCCCTAGCACTGACGGAAAACGCGGTTTAAATGCGATGAATGGCCCCCTCTCCGCCTTCCCACGTTGCTTCGCCGCCAGCTCACGGATGATGCGCGTCTTCCCGGTGCCGCAGGCCATCTCGATGACCCGGGCTCCATTGGCGCACACTTCCAGGCAGGCCTCCTGACAGGGTCGCAGCGGTGGATCCGGAAGGTGGCCAATACCAGCAGTGTGGCCAGATGTCAGACTTGAAACCGCATCGTGGCACCGCTGGCGCAAGCTCTTCTTGGTCACTATCTTCCGTTGACCGTCGTATTCGCGCAGCCACTTCTGGGAGTCGGCGGACATTGTGCAGCCGTCGAGCGTCCAGAGAGTGCAGCACGGGGCCTGCCAAGCTTGTCAAAAGATCATGCAGTTTCCGCGCGTGCCATGGAAGACTTTGGGACTCACCGGCCTCAAACAAGCATTTGGCTGTCCGCAGGAATCGCTTCACATCCTGGCCGCTGGCATTCCCAACCCGACAAAAAATCGCTCGCTGGCCGTCCAAGCTGAAGAGGTCCACTCCTTCCACCCAAAGACACAGGAGCAACTCGAAGTCATTGTCGCAGGAAGGTTTTTGACTTCAAAGCTGCTAGCTGCTTATCTCATCGAAACGCCTCAGAATTTGAAGCAAGACCCATCGAACCTTTCATCACCAGCTCAAAGCTGTTGACATCTCACCATCTAGAAGCTAGACCCAGAGCCCGAAACTGCTCGGCCTCGCGGGCCAAGCCACGGAGACGATCCATGAAGACCACATCACGACCTCCGCCGGCCCACAACTCAAACTCTGAGGCCTTTGCACTGACACCTTGACTTATCTCTTTATACGCAACGAGCATGCGCTCTTATACATTCTGTGCTAAAGGCTCCTGGTTTGGATCTCTGGCTCACAGGCCGACCGCACATCCCTAGAAGGCCTCTTAGCTTCGAGGCTTCCCTCGGATACTTCGCAATGCCGGGTGGCTGTCGTCCGAGCTCGCAGCCGCTTCACGCATGGTCCTCTCACAAACTTCGAGGGAGACAGCGACTGCGACTGGCAGTGATCCAACTATAGGACCCAAGCCAGACAGCACGTGCGGGATATGGCCCTTTCGTCTTATGCGGCTCTGATGCTGAGGGCCTCGAGACCCCCCCCACGACATTGCAGCAGGTCCTCTGTGGCTGCCGCCCCCTCAGGACAGGCCGTTGTACGAAAACGGCTGCGGCCGAAGAACGCATCCACAGAAAGAGTCCGCAGAGCAGCACCGAAGCCAGGTTTCTGCGAGCTTTCCCAGATCTCTTGCATTTCGCAGCCCGAGGATGCTGCATGTTCTCCGGCCTGCACACCTCTAACCTCTCTGGCCACTGAACATCGGAATTCCACTCGAGGTAGGCTGCAGCCCTGAGCCCACCGGCTGCGGAGAGGCCCGCAAAATGGTGATGAGGAATGCTGGGAAGGCTCGTAATCGCTGTCGGGTCGCAAATGCCAATACGAAATAGCAACGGGGAGCCAAACCCTTAGTGAAAAGCAGAAGCCTGGACCACCTACGCCACCCTGCACCCATGCTGCAGGGGACCGAGTTGTAAACGCTGTAAGGACTTGCTACTCTCGCTTGGAACTCGTCAGCCAAAGAGAAAGCCAAGGTCTTCACGGCAGCACCCTCCTACAGTCACCTTCATCCCTCGGTTATTGAAGCAGCGAGGGGCCTTGATGGGGTTGCAGTTGTGCCAATCGTAGAAGCGTCGCGTCCTTACCTGCCAGAAACGCTTCGCAGGTCAAAGGACTTACGTCTCTTGAAAGCTCTTGCCCTACTGCCTGGTATGTCATCAGAAGCTCCGGTCGGAGGGGTACAGTCAGAGCGTGGCGGTTTTCTTTCACTTGTTTGGGGAGGTGAAAGAAAGTGGCTCCGCCCCGAGCAAGCCAATGAGTCAAACGCAAAGCCTTACCCTGAAGTGCGATTCCACATCGGAGCTCGACGATCATGATACACCCCAAACCCAAGACTTCGGAGGCTGCAAGACGAAAGCGACAGGTGCAGCAGGGCCTCGTCGTAGCTTGGTCGCAGGCAGGCGTGGCAAGATTCCTTTCAGGGGCAGAAGCCGGAACCGGTTGAGGTTCAGAGCGCTAGAGGGGCACCTGGGGTTTCGCGCTTTGTCTGGTGGCTTAACGAAGCTTCATCCGCCGACGGGTCGCATCGCTCAAGCCTGCCTGGTCTGCCACTTTGTGCCTGCAGGATAGTGCTGTCTCTCTGCATGCCTGCCTGGCATGCCCTGCCTGTCTGCCCGTCTGTTTCTCACCGGTTCTCCCCCTCTTTCGCCTTCTGTCTCTCTCGCTCTCTCTGGCTCTCCCTCTCCTCCCTCGCTCGAAGCAAAACTTTTCTCCCATCGCAGGCGATGCCCGGGGTCTTGGTACGAGATGGGAACTACCTCCTACTCTACATGTATGCAATATCCCAGAGACCCCAGAAACACAAACCTTTGACTTCTAATTCTAATGCTTGCGTAACTTCATAATGCAACAAACGAACACGGGATATAAAGCACTGGCTACCACTACTAAACATTAACAAGCATTGACGAAGTCGGTGTTGTAGTAGCAGTGCTCCTCGTCGTCCTAGCCACCGGAGTCGTTGTAGCAGCAGAAGCAGCAGCGGCAGCAGCAGCAGTAGTAGTATTGGTTCTGTTGCTGTAGCGGTACTGGCGGAAGTGGTGGCAGTGGCAGTGGTGATAGGGTGGTAGTGGTGGTAGTAGTCGTAGTCGTCGTAGTGGTGGTAGTGGTGGTAGCGGTGCTAGCCGTGGTAGCGGTGGTAGTGGCGCTAGTGCAGTGGTGGTCGTGGTGGTACTGGTGGTAGCGATGGTAGTGGGCAGCAGTAGCGGTGTAGTAGTAGTAGTAGTAGTAGCAGCAGTAGTAGTAGTCGTAGTCGTCGTCGTCGTCGTCGTCGTCGTAGTGGGAGCGTCGTCGTCGTCGTAGTAGTAGTAGTAGTAGCAGCAGCAGCAGCAGCAGTTATTATTGTTGTTGCTGCTGCTGCGGCTGCGGCTGTTGTTGGTGTTGTTGTCAGTGGTAGTGTAGCAGTCGTGATAACCGTCCTCATGATCAGCTACAAGGCGGAAGCCTGAACCCTAAGCCCCTACCGGCTAAACTGTCTTTGAATCAGGCTCGCGTAGTCTCAGTGAATTAAATCCCTATTCAAGGTGAGGAAAGAGAGGAAAGCTTACCAGCGGTGCGGGCTCACAGCTCGGCATCGCGGCCCATTTCTGCTTGCTGCTTCCTTAGCTTTCTGCTGGATGTTGAGAAGTTTCGGGGCTTCGGGTTTACGGCAGTTTCCGGCGGAGGGGCTTGGGTTTCGGAGTGTAGGGTTTACGCCCTCGCAACTCGGACAAGCCAGACGAGGTCGCACGGCTCGCAGTCGGTTAAAGTTCGGGGTTTCGGCTTAAAAAGGGCTGTGAAGCTCGGGGTCTAGGTCCACATATTTGGGGGTTTCAGGGTTGGGTCTCGGTGTAGGGTTCGGATAAAACTAGGGTTACAAAACCCTAAACCCTAAACCCTCAACCCTCACAAGTTACATGTGTATGTTTCTAGCTTGAAGCCATGGCTTTCAGTTTGTTCAACAAGCTTTGTGGTCTGGACATCTCGCGCTCCGACAAGGAACTACCTAGATGATGCTACGGTAATGCAGGGGCCTCAACGACTAGTAGGTTGTATGAGGGCATTACGGTATAGGCATAAGAAAGAACCGTTAGGAATGATATTGGTAATTCTTGCGACTTCTGTCTTACCCTAAATCCTAAACACATGGAGATAGGCTGCATCTTCCGCAAGAGAGCCGGCAGTCAACACTATCACGGTCCGGTTGTTCGGGCTTGGGGTCTAGGGCCCTGTCACATCGTGCCCGAAGACCCCTTGCAGCTCAGCAGCAGTCAAGCATAAACCTCCCTTTGCTCCTGAAAATCCAGACGTTGCCTCGAATACATCGTCATTGCCACAGGTTGAGACGTTTAGGCGAGTCTTCTGGGACTTTGGAAGCGGAGTCCTGCAAACCCAAAACGACAGCTCTTGAACCCAACATCTGAAACTCCAACACTCCAGGCAAGTGGCTCGATGAGGCGGGTGTAATCGCTCTTCTCGGTCTGCTTGCGGTTGAAGTCCTGCAGCATACGGACGAGGTTGAGATTCGGAATCCGGGTACCTACGGGATTGGTGTTGAGTGCTCTGTCATTGGCAGTAGTTGTTGTTGCTTTCTTGCAACAGGTACTACTGTCTTGGTAAGACCACGACTAGTCGATGTACCATTGTCTCGGCAAGCGTTCGGAGCTTGCGGACATCAACAATCTGATGAAAGGGCTTCCACATTGCCGTAGAGATGAAGTGAAGAGTGGGTAAGTCTTCTCCGGTCCTCCAACTGCGAGAAGTTCTTGCGCTTCGCGATGAGCTTCTTCAATGCTGGCGGGTACCTGGAGTCTTCAGTCTGCTGGAAAACTGATGTTCGGCTGAGGGCGAAGCACAGCATTCTATTGTGTATGCCCTGCTCTATATCCTGAGCCCCATCAACACAGTAACATACCCTCTCACAGAAAGAAAAAACTCTTACCTGCAACATCCCGCGCAAACCCGTGCACGCCTAAGCCAAAGTCCTCAAACCTAAAACTCCTCAACCCCAGGACCTAACCGACCTCCTCAACCCTTAACTCCAAACGCCTTTAAAGCCGCCTTCCCTTCAAAACAATCACCATAAATTCTCAAACCTCCTAGCCGGATCATCCACCCAGTGGCTGCCCGACGCAGTACCAGCTGCCAGGGGCATCGCAGATCCCTGGGTAGGATTTTCTCTCTGGGATTTCAGCACCCAGCCAGGTGATCTCGGGGTTTTTGGCTTTGCCACTGCTGGGTTTCGGGTCCTAGAGAGTCAGGGTGTCAGGGTTTGGGGTGTCGGAAGGAACCCGAAAAACTTGGTGGGTTTAGCACGTCGGGAAAATGAGGCGAAGGCCTTGTACACCCGGGACCCTTTCTGGAAGGGTCTGTGTGAAAACCCGAACACAGAAGGCCTCAGCGCCTCGAGGGGGCTTTCGAACAGTCGTCAAATCTGTATGTCGAGGGCTTAGAACCTTCACTGGCCTTTGGTGTGTAGTGTTTAGCATTGTCCAAGACCATTAACATGCAGGTTCGAGCTCAAGGAACCGCATGGCTCCCTCCTTTGAAAACCAGCTGCTGTTCAGCAAGAGTCCACAGGCCTCGAGCCAAATCCAACAAAACCCAGGCCGAAGCCACAGCAACGAAAGTGAACATCCCAGAACAACAGCAATCGAAAACCACAGGACTAGTAATGATGTGCCCTTATGTATAGTCCGTATAGTCGCTACTCAACCCCTGAGATACAACCTACACATACACACACACACAAGACATCCTTCAGACCATGGGGCGGTTTGCCGGATCCGCCACCCAGTCCTTCGATTCCTGCGAGACGTTCAGCACCTGAACGCCGGTAGGAATCCCCAAGCCCAGAATGGGCCTCAGGGGACAACAGGGGGCGTAGTAACTCGGTGGAAAGTAGGATGGCCCACAGCAGGGTGTTGCATGAAGCTCTTTACCAGCTCAGTGTGCCTCCCACTGACAGGATCATCGGAGTTGGTAACCGAGTTTATGTAAACAAGGTAACTATACATATAGCCACGTGTAACTTACAACCCATATTCAAGAAACCGGCCAACTTACTTGCTCTAAGCCCCCCCCGTTCTTGGGGCTTCGGCACAGGTTGTTCAAAAGAACAAGAAGAGATACCAGGTAAGGCTTCTGCAATTCCTGCAAGGCTCTCATACCTCAACTGCAGGATCCTTGTTTTCAAGTGCTTATTGGGCGCTCAAAGTTCGGGGGGCTACTTCAAACCTCCAAAACCGAGATTCGAAGCGTTGCAGCCCTGAAGTTATTCTAGGCCTTATGCTGCGACTGAGGTTTTGGATTGTCAAAACATCCAATAGCAGCTGGGGGCTCAAGACGAAAATTCTGCACCCAAGCGTCATGCTGGGACCTTTGAGGGGAGTAGGGTTCCTTTTGGGCTTAAACCCTCAGCTCAAAAAGCCCCAAAACCCCCTCCTCTTCCAGAGACCTGCCTGGTAGATTCGCATCAGCCCATGCTTCGTCGTATGAACTTCCTCGCGCCGGTGTGCGAATGGTGTCTTGAAGGCTGTCGTTTGGGGCTTTCCGGACAGTCCTCTGGAGGCAATTCGGCCATCCAGGGCTAAGGCTTAGGGCTTAGGGTTTGGGGTTTTACGCTCTGGGGTTTAGGGTTTAGGGCTTAGGGTTACTCTCCAGGGCTTTAGGGCTCAGGATTTGTAGGTTTGCAGCTCAAGACAACAAAAGACTCGGGCCTTGCGTCAGGCACCGGGGCGATGTCGGATGTGGGAAGTGCTGCCACGCTTTACGGTTTCGGATAGTTCCAAAGGCCCCCACCACCCCTATGACGGGTTTAGGGGTTTAGGGGTTTAGGGTTTAGGGTATCATCCAAAAACTTTGCCCACCGCTGTGCACAGGCAGATGAAGGTCTCTTGATAACTTACCGTGAACCTGCAAGTATGCCCACCCTAAACCTTAAACTCGAAACCCTGAAACCCGAATCCTAATCCCAAAACCTGGGGCTTTAGTGAAAGCCGAAAAATCTCTAAATTGCAAGGCTAGTGCTTCAAAAGGAAACTTCCGCCTGCAGGCTATGTCAGTTCTCTCTTTGTCGAAACTCATCATTGGGGCTTTGGGGGTCTATGTTGCTAGGGGTTGGGGCTTCGCGTTTAGAGCTTTAGTGCTCCAAGGTCTCAGGGATAGTGGTTTAGGGTTTAGGGCCAGGTGGACTACAATCGGGATCCTGGGTTCAGGCAGATTCTTAGCTGAGTTTCGTTCTCGTCCAGGCTCTTGCCAAATCTCGCCAATAACTGCCAGTATTGTGGGGGCACATAAACAAACCAGAAGCTCTCATGCTAGACTTCTATGGTGACTATCTATATATATATATATAGAGATGTATGGTGACTATAAGGGTATCTGTACACCAACTCCTCACACATCGATAACCAAGGGGCCCCGGGGTCTCCCCGG